CACATCTCTGTCAGTCTAACGGAGAACTTTGAATAAATTCCTATGGTCACATATCCGTCACGACCACTTACAGTTGCTTTTCAACAGGGGCATAAATCACTTAACAAAAACTACCTTACACTTAAAGAAATAAAGATTCACAATGGCAGAAACTATACCATGAGCATAAATAACTCCATGCAGGGTCCCAGACAACGAATTGGTCCCACAAATTCACCCAGAACAAGGCAAGCCATCCGTTCAAATACCACACCCTGCTCCAGTCGCTGGTACCCAAGTAAGCCCTTGGCCCATTCAGAGTTATTTCCGTGAGCTTCAACAGGGATGACCCGCTCACTGAGGGCTAAATCCCTGATCATCCTGCACTCCCATTTTTGCCTTCACTGAGAACCTTTCTTTAAAAAAAAAAAAAAAAAAAAAAAAAAGTTCTTTTTTTTTTTTTTTTCCTGATTTTTTTACAGAGAGGAGGGAGAGGGATAGAGAGCTAGAAACATCCATCAGCTGCCTTCTGCACACCCCTTACTAGGGATGTGCCCGCAACCAAGGTACATGCCCTTGACCGGAATCGAACCCGGGACCTTTCAGTCCACAAGACAGATACTCTATCCACTGAGCCAAACCGATTTCGGCATGAGGACCTTTTCATTCACCCTCAGCCTCACCGAAGACACCAGAGCCGCCAGGCTCGCCCAAACCCGGGGAGGCTCCCTACAGCAAAGACTAGCTCTCCGGGTGGGCTTCGGAAAAGCGCCTCTGACAGATGGGCCGCGCTGCATCCTGGGAGCCTCCCAGTGTCCGGGAATTCGCCAGCTGCGGACTACATTTCCCAGAAGTCTCCGCGCCAGGCCTTGTCAGAACCCGGCGAGGGTGGCGGTGGAGGGCGTTGGGAACTGCTGGGCTCCCATAAGCTCCGGGGCCCGAACTGGCCTCGGTGTCTGCGTTCTTTTCCGTTGTCCCCAAGTTCCGTTGGACTCTGCGCGGCGGTTGGTCGCGTGCCACACAGTAGTCAGGTTGGGGGGGCTCAGCAGACTTAACGGAAGCGGAACTGGGCCCGGCAGGACGGTTGGGAGGCGCCGGAGGCGGTTCGGTGCGGAGGCCCCTCGCGCACCGGCCCGCGTGGGCCCGCAGCGGCTGGAAGGACCGGGTGCGATCGGCGGCGGTTCAGGGCGCGGCTTGTCCGGTAACGGGGTGGTGGGTGCGTGGCCTTATCTGTGGGCGCGGTTCGCTTTGGCTGTGCGCGCTAAGTGCCCTGGAGAAAAGCATGTCAAACTCAGAGGCTAACGCGGGCCAAATAAGGTGTAAGCTTACATGGGCCACAAAAAAAAACCAAAAGCTTTAATTTTGACATAAATGTAGATTTATTTCGATAGAGACATGCTGAATACAAAGGGCTGAAGTAAATGAGGTATCTATAACATAAAATAATAGAATATTTGAATAAAAATTAACTTTTTCTTGAACATGAACTTACCAGACACTGAATAGCTGCACAAATTAATAAGCGAATAAACCCATTTCTCTTGTTCTCCGAAGCCAAATAGTTCCTGTTGCACGCACCAAACAAGTCAGTATAAGACTAAAGATGTGGCCATCGGCTGCTAAAACATGCGCTGCTGGTATTAGCGGAGAGAAATTCATTACTAATGATGGCCACATCATTAGTAATCAGCCATTAGTGGACGTTGTGATTTGCTATTAATAACTAGAGGCCTGAAATTTGTGAGAAAGGTGTAGGGTGGGTCCCCTCGGCCCAGTCTGCACCCTTTTTAATCTTAGGGGGTGTCTGACTACTGGTTTAGGCCCGATCCCGGCAGTCGGACATCCTTCTCACAGTCCTGAACCACTGGCTCCTAATCTTTCACCTGCGTGCCTGGTTGCCCCTAACTCCCCCTCTCCCCCACTTCACACCTTCCCTCAAATCCCTCTTGCGCCCCCCCCCCCCCCCCCCCCCCCCGTGCTGGCCTTATCACCCCTCACTGCCTCTGCATGTTTGCCTGGTTGCTCCCAACTGCCCCCCCTCCATGGCCTAGTTGCCCCTCATTGCCCCCCCCCCCCCCCTAATCAGCCCCAACTGCCCCTCCCGCTGGCCTGGTCACTTCTTAAGGCTCCTCCCCCTCCCCCCAGCCTGGTCACTCCACTGGTCACCCCACGCAGCCTGCTGTTCAGTCGTTTTGTCGTCCCTCACTAACACCCCTGCCGGCCTGGTCGTAGGTAGCCATCTTGTGAGGGCGTGAGGGTTAATTTGCATGTTGCCTCTTTATTATATATTTAGATTATGTTTAACAGGATATTGTAAAAGTTAAGTTACGAGATTTTTATTAAAACTTTTCCTACATACCGTTATATTGGCTGGGCCGCAAAAATATTCATTGTGGGCTGCATGCGGCCCGCGGGCCCTGAGTTTGACATGCTCGCTCTAGACTCTCAGGTCCTGGGAAGTTCACTGACCCCAAGAAAAGACGCCCTGCACTCAGCCCCAGCCTGAGCGGAGACTTGGGCCGAGAACTTTATTTGCTTCTGGAGGCGCCCTTGTGACAGGCTCCGAGGAAGACGCATGTGTGTGTAGGGGGGGAGGGGGGGTCCCAGGTAGGGTTCCCATTAGAGCCTCCCCTCGTTGCTCCTTGGGGGCCAGCTGTCACCTCAGATAGAGCCCAGCCTGCCTTTACATTGGACTTGCTTTTATGTGGGTGAAAGCAGATGTGGCCCTGGGGCAGGGGTTCTGAACCTGGGGGTCGAACGACCCTTTCACAGGGGTCGCCTAGGGCATATCAGATATTTCCATTATGACTGCAGTAATGTAAGTTACAACAGTAGCAAAATTACAGTTATGAAGTAGCAACGAAAATAATTTTACGGTTGGGGGTCACCACAACATGAGGCACTGTATTAAAAGATCGCGGCGTTAGGATGGCTGAGAACCACTGCTCCAGGAGTGTTTTGGTTCTGTATTTCCTTTTTTATTGAACTCTGTCTGCTCCCAGAAATGCTGGTGTCAAATGATTCCTCTTCCCTCCCACTGCTTTCAGGTTCTTAAGAAGGACCCTGAGGAGGAGGAAAGAATAGTTGGATATTTGGAAATTGACGTTCAGGTGAGTTTGGGTTTCTTTATAGCCATACAATTACTTTTGTTTTTAGATCACGAGAATATTTGCTTTCCTCGGCCTGAAATATCTTGACTGGTAGCGTCTCATGGGTCTTCCTCCTGGTGAGGGACCCACCATGCTGAGGCCTCCCCCTTCCCCGTGGTCCCATAATGTCCTTTCTTTGGTTAGCGGCCATCTGTTCACATGGTGAACTGTTCAGATCCTTCAGGGCAGTCTCCCTCTCTCAGTCTTCTGGAGCCCTGGCTGCTTTTGCTCAGTGGACAGTGTGGGCTCTCAGACTGAAGGGTCCCAGGTTCGATTCCAGTCAATGGCTCAGACCTCGGCTGCAGATTTGCTCCCCAGCCCTATCCGGGCACGTGTGAGAGGCAACCAATCAATGTGTCTCTCTCACATTGATGTTTTTATCTCTCTGTCTCTCTTCCACTCTCTCCAAAAATCAATTGAAAACTATCCTCGGGTGAAGATTAACAAAAAAACAAAGGAACAGACAAAAAAGAAATATACCTCATGGAGGTAACTGTTAGAGCTTTATTTTAGCTTATGATTACTTGGACAGGTTAGTATTCAGGTAGATAAAATATTTTAAAAATATATATATTTTATTAATTTTTTACAGAGAGGAAGGGAGAGGGATAGAGAACTGGAAACAGAGATGAGAGAGAAACATGGCTGCCTCCTGCACACCCCCTACCAGGGATGTGCCCACAACCAAGGTACATGCCCTTGACTGGAATCGAACCTGGGACCTTCCAGTCCACAGGCCAACGCTCTATCCACTGAGCCAAATCGGTTTCAGCAGATAAACTATTTTTTATCTTTTCCACAGTCATGAGTTTCAAAACTCAAGGCAAGGGAACAGGGAATTGTTAGTTTCAGTTAATAAATTCCAATGTTGTGCCCGGCCAGTGTGGCTCAGTGGTTGAGGATGGGCCTATGAACCAGGAAGTCACAGTTCAAATCCCTGTTAGGCACATGCCCAGGCTGTAGGCTTGATCCCCAGCAGGGGGTGTGCAGGAGGCAGCCTATCAATGTTTCTCTCTCATCATCGATATTCCTCTCTCTCTTTCCCTTTCCCTTCCTCTCTGAAATCAATAAAAATATATATTTTTAAAATTTTCATGTTGTAATGCCTTTAGGAGCAGTGATGTGCTTTGAGCTTGGGGCATAGGGCTTTGCAGTGTGTATCAACAAAGGCAGAGACTTTCAGATAATCTTTGAGTAGAAATCTGTAACATTGCTAAGCATAAGTTGTTTCAGGTTCAACTTTGTGTAGGTTGTGAGAGGCAGGCAGTACTGTGTGATTAAGAGTAAGGCTATGGCCAAAACCAGTTTGGCTCAGTGGTAGAGCGTCGGTCTGCGGACTGAAAGGTCCCGGGTTCGATTCTGGTCAGGGGCATGTACCTTGGTTGCGGGCACATCCCCGGTAAGGGGTGGGCAAGAGGCAGCTGGTCGGTGTTTCTCTCTCATCGACCTTTCTAGTTCTCTCCCTCTCTCCCTTTCTCTCTGTTAAAAATCAATAAAAATATATTTAAAAAATCAAAAAAAGGAAAAATGTAAGAGATAATATTAAGCAAAAGTTAAAGTTATGAACAAAAGCACTCAAAAATATTAGGAGTGCTATATGAATTCCATTAGAAAAGAGGATTTTGAAAGACGTGTTTTCAAGGATCGTATCCAAAATTTTGTTTTCATCATGCATTTGGTGAAGAAGTTAGGTGTAGCCACACTTGTCCAGCATCTACTTTGTACCAAATAGGTATGTTTTTGTTGTGTTTCTGCTTATGTGTGTGCATTTTCTTCCTCAGACTGTGAAGGCGACTTACATACCTCGCGTTCACTGGCGGGAGAGCCTTGACAGTGACAGTGTCTCATCGCAGTGATGAGCCACAGCCCCGGATGTTCAGGAGCGGGTAGGTGTGATTCGCTTCAGGCCCACTGAGTTTCCTTAATGACTGCAATTTACCCCTTTCCTGTCACTCAGTATTTTACATTTGGAAATAAGCTTTAGAGCTTCGATTATGGAATTAATACAGGTTTGTGGCAAAACAATTTACTAATCCAGGAATCATAGAGAATGAGGTAGAAAATTATATCCTCCTGCTCATTCTTGGTATTCCAGTGTGTGTGTGTTTTGCTTGTTTGTTTTCCTACAAGCTGTGTGTCTGGTTTTGTTTCTGCAGAATGAAGTCACATGAATTGGTGATACAGTTGAGTTGAAGACTCTCTAGCTTTTAATTGGGAATGAAATAAAAGAGGGGTAAGAAGTGTAACAGGTGGTTACACTGAAGATTAAGGAAGAAAGGTCATATAAAATGGTGTACAATAACTGCTTAAAATACGTTTTAGCCATTAAATAAACCCCGACATACCTTTTATTTTAATATATTTTTTAAAATATATTTTATTGATTTTTTTTTTTTACAGAGAGGAAGGGAGAGAAATACAAAGTAGAGAGTTAGAAACATCGATGAGAGAGAGTCATCAATCAGCCGCCTCTTGCATGCCCCCCGACTGGGGATGTGCCCTCAACCAAGGCACATGCGCTTGACCGGAATCGAACCCGGGACCTTTTAGTCCGCAGGCCGACACTCTATCCACTGATCCAAACCGGTTTCGGCTTATTTTATTATTTATTTAATCTTGACTATGTAGAAAGAAGAGGGAAGAGTCAGTGATCCTTTCCTCATTAGAAAATTTTCAAGTATTTACAATGTTTAGGAATATAGAAATGCTATTTAGAAATTGATTACCTGGGCTATGAAGATGAATTGAAAGGTTACTTCCACAGAGAATAGCAACAGTCTCTAAAGTCTTACAAAAATCTATTTTACAAATAATATTTCCAAGGACAGATACTAGTACCAGGAGGTTGAATAAGGAGGTTATAGATTGAAGTATTCAAATAAGCCACCAGTTTGCACAGAACAACCCAGTTGAGCCTCTGGTTAATGTTCCCAGATTGATACCTCACTGAATTATATTTTCTGAGCCAGCTTTGCAGTGCCTAATTTTGTCTCTCCATCTGCAGCTTCTGTAGCAATATTTTTTTCTGTATCTTTAAGAGCCTGCTTTGTTCACCTTGTTCAGGAAGAATAGCAGTCTTAGAGCTGGGCTGTGAAATTTAGAATTGTAAGAAAGCAGGCCTGAGAAGTACAGATTTTATCAAGAGAAAAATTACAAGAATGGCATCAACTTTTTTACATTAACTTTCTCACATTATTACAATGTGATAAGAAATAATCTTTTTCATTTTCGCTAGTAATGGCTACAACGTATATTAAGCAATTATTGTATACCATTTTATGTGATCTTTCTTACTCTTCAATGCCGCCATCCGTGGTAAACACCTTTTGCCCCTCTTTTATTGAATTTCTCAACAGAGGTGTTGAGAAATGGGTAACCATCAAGTTCAAGTCTGACATCAGTCTTTATCTTAATTTCACATACACTTCACACATTATGTATCTTTTTAAAAACCTGCTTGCCTCACTAAGAAATTAACTATGTATGTTTTTCTTCATCAATTAATGTGGCCCATTCTACCTTCACATCAATTAATGTGGCCCACTCTACCTTCTACCTACCAATTGTGAAGGTAGAATGGGCCATTATTTATGAAGCCCTTTGCCCAGTATTACATAGTTTCTAATTCTTGGTTATCATAAATGATTTTTGGTTGACTGTTCTTATGTATACATCTTGTATATTTCCCTAGCTATTTAAGGATACATTTCTATCTGGAATTTTGGGTTAAAATGTGTCCCAAATATAAGACCCTGAGATAATAATACTTGGGCAGTAATATAATGACTAAAAGACATAGGAGTTTCCTTTAGGATAAGAAAGACAAAATATGTTTAGGAATAAGTAGGGCAGTCAGCAACAAAGGCCAATTGGAAATGAAATGAAAGAGGGGTGATTCAGATAACCTGGAAGGAGGCAATAGTAAGGTAATTGTAAGCAATACTATTAAGTCATACCAACTTTGTGGAGGCAAATGAAATATAGCCTGTGATTTTATACCATATAGTTTTTATCCTAATATTAGTTGCAAAGTAAGGCTATAAGATCAGATGATTCAGCAGCTCCCTGGAGGGTATCATGTCTAAAAAGATAAACCCATTTGTCAGAAGACATGAAAAGTAGCAGGATCAAGACCTCTCAATATATCCTTGAGATTTCTTTGTGAATTTCAGCCATTTTTTCTAGGGAGAGAAATCATATAGTTAGTATAATGCATGGCCACCGTTAACAATAATTATGCAGAATACCCAACCCAAAAGATCATTATGGTCATACTACATTATTATACATAGCTATATAACTTTCCAACATTTTTTCATCTATGGATGTCTGACAAATGTAGTTATACTATATACTTCATGTAACATATTTTTTTCTATTGATAATAGATCTTGATTATTTTCCCCAACTTAGCATAGTTTCAAAGTGTTCCATTGCATAGATGCTCTGAGTGTATTAAGTCACATTGCTGAACTCAGGCAATTACCTGAGCAATTGTTTGTATATCCTGTCTGCTCCTATGTCTTGACCAATTTTCTAGTCCTAAGCCCATGAAGTGTTCTAGTCTTGGACGATGTTGGCCATTCTCAGTCCTGACAGGTGGGAATGGAGGGCGGAAGATCTGATCTGGGGAGGACTGAGTGGTCCGATCTCAGACTCATAGCAGCATCTCCAGAATTGGGCTGTGACAGAAACCTTTCTGCTGAAGGCCCTGGGATTTTAGGTGAGAGTGTAAATTCCACATGAGGTGTGTGGGATGTGGATTCGTTTGAGTCATGATGGGATCAGTTAAGCCCACCCGGTCTAAAGCTTCCTTTTCCTTCCCCAGCTCTGGCTTCTCTGGACTCTGTGCTTTGCCAATAGAGGAACCCCACGGAGCACTAATCAGCTCTTGCAATTATAGAACCATGACTGACGTAAGTTGGTATTTCTCTTGACTTGGAATGCAGTGATTTTTAGTTCATGTGAATCTTTCCCTTAATTGTACTAAAGCCTTCTACCTAACAGAACCCCATCCCTGAGCCCACCTCTCAGTTCCTCCTATTCCAGTGAAGGGTGGTGCCAAATACTCTCCATCCCTCCCTAGGTGCCTTTTCCAGTCAGCCATCACCTCACTCACCATCTCCTGCAAGCTCCGTCTTCTGTCAGGAAAGTAAAGGAATGGAGTCTTTTGTGGAAAGTACTTGAGCTTCTGTCAAAGAATAGCTCTCTTACTTGTATAAAAGGAGAAACCAAGAGTAGATGGATTTTATCTATCAAAGCACAGATGGGATTTATATAAGAGGAGAGAATGAAAGACTTTAGACATTTTGGAAATGACAGTTTTCCCTTTTCTGCTAAGATGCTGATAGGCAGGAGCCAGGAAAGAAGCCAGGCAGGATACTGTTCCCGTAGCCCGCTGGACGGCCACCAAGAAGGCAGCTTCGGTGGCAGTCCTCTGGGAGAGCTTTGGTGTGTCCCTGTGGCGTGTCCGTGGCAGGCTGTCTGGGTGGTGCCCTTGGTTATCTCTCCACCCTCGTGCCACCAGGCCTGCACCATCTCCCTTATCAGAATCTCTCATCCCCTCGTCAAGTCTGTGCTATGATGAGGTAGTGAGGAGGGTCCCAGTGGACCACACAGGAGAGCTCGGAACTTCTTCACAGACCTGAGTTTTCCAGAAGGTTCAGGTGGGCTTTGGGATTTCTTGGTCTCAGCCTAAGTTTATGTGCAATCATGCTTTGCAAGGCTTTTCAGGATTAGAGGGGGAGCGAGTGGTTCTTTCCAGGGATTCCCTAATTGATGAACACCGGTATCAAAGTCCATTCTGTCATTGACCAGGACATGCAGGCCATGGGCGACATCTGTTAGGCACAGTATCCTCCAACTCGGGAACAAAGAAGGTGTTAAGTGATGGGTAGTTAATGATAACAAGAAGATGAGCCAGCCCTCAGGTGTGGCTCAGCGGTTGAGTGCCAACCTGTGAACCAGGAGGTCACCATTGGATCCCTGGTCAGGGCACGTGCCCGGATTGCGGGCTCAGTCCCCAGTAGGGGACTTGTAGGAAACACATCAATGATTCTCTGTCATCATTGATGTTTCTATCGCTCCCTCTCCCTTGCTCTATGAAATCCATAAAAATACATTTTTAAAAAATTTACCAAAGAAAAGATGATCCAGATTTTTAAGTATGATTCCAAGAATTAAGGAAAATCTTTAGAAATTTTGTTTAACCTCAATATGTAACATAATCAAGTTATTAATCTAACATATCCAAATGATGAACTGAATTATAGCTAATAACCCATTTTATGTATTCATCATAGTAAGAAACAATTCTTCTAATGAAATCTAATAGAATGATTTATTTGAGGCTTAATGATAATTTTAATGGAAATTATATTTCTGAAATAGAGACTTTATAGTGTGTTTTTTGGGGAAAATTTCATGCCTCTCCTCCTCCCCCGCTCCCGCCCATATTCCTTAAAGGGACAAGATGGTATGACAGCTCACATTTATAAAGAATTTATGAGGCAGGCACATAGCAGGGTATGTGTATGTATACCCTAAGCCTCCCTTTCTCCCCTCCACTATTTTTCTTGAATAGAAGAGAAGCTGGGATTTTTAAGTATATTATCAGACAGGTCTGGAGAACTGAGTTATCTCACAGTATCCAGGAAGTTTTTTCTGCTCCATCAGGATTCTTCTAAAACATGTAGACACACTGCTGTAATCATACTAATTTCCTTACTTTTCCTACCTGTATGTATCACAAGCTTCAAGCCTCCTTCATTGTCATATTTTTCTCTCCTTGCAGTTTATCCGTCTCAATATTTTTTTCCCTCTTGGAAATACTTTTTTAAATTCTTTAATTTCATAGGTAACGTGTGGATTTTTGGTTTTAGGGGTTGGTGACCTTCAGTGATGTGGCCATCAACTTCTCTCAGGAGGAGTGGAAGTGCCTGAGCCCTGCCCAGAGGGACTTATACACGGAAGTGATGTTGGAGAACTACAGTAACCTGATTTCAGTGGGTAAGGTCGTCTGCCTGAAATAATCTAGAATCTCCTCTCTGCAACATCTGCTTTTTTCTTTTCTTTTCTTTTTTTTTAAATATGGTCTAAGTGATTCTTTTTTTTTTTTTTTTTAATATATTTTATTGATTTTGTACAGAGAGGAAGGGAGAGAGATACAGTTAGAAACATCAATGAGAAAGAGTCATCGATCAGCTGCCTCTTGCGCACCCCCCACTGGGGATGTGCCTGCAACCAGGGTACATGCCCTTGACCGGAATCGGACCCAGGACCCTTCAGTCCCCAAGCCGATGCTCTATCCACTGAGCCAAACCGGTTTCGGCCACATCCGCTTTTTTCATGGGAATCACGGGGCTGTCTCTGAAGAGTCCAGATGGATTTCTTCTTCCTGTTCTCACAGGAATGGTTTGGTGTTGTTGGGTTAGAAATGGGTTCATGGAGCTCCTTGGTCTTCCCGCTCCTCAGCAAGCTTCACACCTTCCTCCGATCCTTCCTGCAAAGGATGCTTCTCCTCTCTAATGACCGAAGAGCTAGGTTTGTGTTACGGGACATTTATTTCTTAACCATTGTTTAACTTCCACATTTCTATAAATGATCTGTGTTCTTGCTACTCAAAGTGTGGTTCTTTTGTTTGAGGACCCATAAGAAGGCCAGAGCAAAGTAGTGAAGGAGAAAATACAGAGTATCAGTCATTAGTGAGGAAGAAGACAGGGCCCAGATTATGATATGCAATTTCGTTAGTTTAGGAGAGAGGCAGGATGTATATTGTTTTCTCAGTGACTTGGTTTACATGGGGTTTTAAATATATATATATATATATATATATATATATATATATATATATATTTGATTTTTTTATTGGGAGGAAGGGAGAGAGAGAGAGAGAGAAGTATCGATGACAGGGAAACATCAATCAGTTGTCTCCTGCACACACCCTACTGGGGATGTGCCTGCAACTAAGGTATATGCCCTTGACCGGAATCGAACCTGAGACCCTTCAATCCAAAGGCTGACTCTCTGCCCACTGAGCCAAACTGGTCAGGGCTGTTTTAACTTTTTCTTTTCTTTTTTTTTTTTTTTTAATATATTTTATTGATTTTTCTCAGAGAGGAAGGGAGAGAGATAGAGAGCTAGAAACGTCGATGATAGAGAAACATCGACCAGCTGCCTCTTGCATACCCCCCACTGGGGATGTGCCCGCAACCCAGATACATGTCCTTGACCGGAATCGAACCTGGGACCTTCCAGTCCGCAGACCGATGCTCCACCACTGAGCCAAACCGGTTTCGGCTGTTTTAACTTTTTCATTGTTAAGTGTTACACAAAGAAGTAACATGAGCTGCTTCTGGGCTGGTTAGAAATGCAGCTTGTCAGGTCCTGCCCCAGACCTGCAGGACAAAACCCCTCGGTGATTTTTACACGCCTTAAAGAAGCCCTGCTGAGTTCATTTCTTACCAAGCAAATGCATTTCTTAACAACAAATTCAGAGTAAAAAGTTACAATCTGAGCTAACTCCTAAAATGTCTCATGAAACTTCTTGTTTTCCTCTTAGCAAAGTAACATAACAATAATATTAACAGTTAACACTGTACTTACTATAAACTAGAATACATATATTAACTTACTTAACTTTCACAATGTCCCCATGAGGTAGGTACTGTCTTATTTTTAATATGTTTTTATTGATTTTTTAGAGAGTGGGGAAAGGAGGAGAGAAAAGGAGAATGAGAGAGAGAGAGAGAGAGAGAGAGAGAGAGAGAGAGAGAGAGAGAGAGAGAGAGAGAGAGAGAAAAGAAAGACATGGATATGAGAGAAACATCAAATGACCCTGTACACACCCCAACAGGTATCAAACCCGAAACCTGGGCATGTGCCCTGATCAGGAATCAAACTGACGACCTTTCGGTGCATGGGACAACACCCAACCAAATGAGCCATACCAGCCAGGGCACAGGTGGGTGCTATTTTTATCTGAGGCACATATAGTGTAAGTGGCTTTCTAAGGTCACACGGGTGGTGGGAGGCAGTGGCAGCAATTGAACAGAGGAAATCTGACTCCAGAGACTATATCTGTTTGTTTTAGGGATGGGGCCTGATCGTTTTCCTATCTATGTGATGTCATGGTCTTTATTCCCATCATCCTCTCTTCTCTGAGGTCTTTACCAACATTATTTTAACCTTTACTTTATTGACAGTTAACCAAATAGTTTAGCTTCGAGTAGGCATATGTGGCGACACTATTGGAGCAAGGAGGAGAGCCCTGGATGGTGTGAGGGGAGGGCCAAGAAGTTTTGTCCCAGGAAGGCAGACAGGAGGGAACCAACAGTGCAGGACACACCCACACAGGCCACAGAGGAGGAGAAGCGGGAACATCCGGGGTGATGCTTGGAAAGGTCCCTGTACAGCACCGAGGCCTGTAGAGTGAAGGCCCATCACCGGGAGGAAATTGAAGTCTGAGTTTGAGCTCCAAAGGAATTTCATCTTGATCTTATTCCCACCCTCCTTGTTTTCTTCTCATGTTTCCCTTCGATTTCAGTGAGGAGGATGTGCTTTTGTTTTGTTTGCAGTGTAACCTTTTGGCTTATATGTTGGATTCATCACCTTTCCAGCACTTTTGTGTTTGTGAGCAAATATATGCATTCATTCATAAAGTCTGCAATTTTTTTTAATTAAAAAAATATATTTTATTGACTTTTTACAGAGAGAAAGGGAGAGGGATAGAGAGTTAGAAACATCAATGAGAGAGAAACATTGATCAGCTGCCTCTTACACACTCCCTGCTGTGGATGTGCCCGCAACCAAGGTACATGCCCTTGACCAGAATCGAACCCGGGACCCTTGAGTCCGCAGGCCGACGCTCTATCCACTGAGCTGAACCGGTTAGGGAAAATCTGCAATTTTTTGTTCGTTTGTTTTGTTAATCCTCAACCAAGGATATTTTTTTCCATTGATTTTTACAGAGTAGAAAGGAGGAAAAGCGGAGAGAGAAAGAGAAACATCATTGTGACAGAGACACATTGATTGGTTGCTTCCCGCATGCTCCTGGACTGGGGCCAGGGATGGAATCTGTAACCTAAGTACATGCTCTTGACCTAGAATAGAATCCACAACCCTCTTCTGCTCAGGATATCACTAACCACTGAGGAACACCAGCCAGGGATGCAAATATTTTGAATGTCTACTCCCAGCCAGGCATTACACCATCATGAACAAGATAACTATCCGTTCTCATGCAATTTATGTAGTCAGGGAGAAATAAAGTTAAGTAAATAAATAAATACATGTATAAATACAATCCTATGTTTTTAGAGGAAAGGTAAATGACAGAGAACAGAAAATGATGGGAATTCATAAGGCTAATTCAGATAAGGTGGTTAGGGAAAGTTTTCTTGAATAGCCACACAAAGCCTGGGATCAAATTATGTGACTATAGTGGGGGAGGACTATGCCAATCACAGTCAACAGCAAATGCAAAGGCCCTGTGGTTGGAAAGGAACTTCATTGGAGGGCCCGTAAGGCCAGAACAGAATCAGCAGGGTAGTGTGCACTAAGGAATTAGTCAGGAGATGGGCAGGGGTCAGATAATACAGTTTTGTCATTGTTTTAGGAATTTGAGTTGTTTAGTCTTTCTCTCTGAAACATTTCCAGTGTCTTTCCTTGACTTGCATCTCTTGCTGCTGCTGATCATTACAGGCCAATGTTTGGCACAGTGCTCCTCAGTGTGGGTGTGTCTGCTTTTTCCTCACGATTAGATTTAGGTTATGCATTTTGGCAGAAATAGCACAGAATTGATGCAGCATTCTCCTTGCATCCTGTCAGGTAGTGCAAATAATTTGTCATTACTGCTGATGCTTCCTCTGAGCAGTTGATTAAGGTTGTATCTGCCGGCTTCCTTCTTGTAAAGTTAATCTTTTTTCCTTTAATGAGTATTTTGTGGGAAGGACTTTGAGACTATGTATTCCCCTTCAAACTTCCTTCTATTTATATATTGGATTTCTAGTCAGTGGGTTGTAATATGCTCTTCCCATTATTTATTTTGAAGCTCAAAATATTTGAGCATCTTCCAGATTTAACCATTGGGAACCCTGTCATGGGGCTTCTGTGTCCTCTGACATATCTCCATCACTTTAAACACTTCCTTATTTCTGACAGAAACACATTTCAGGCTTACTTTGTACTTTCCCTGTTGTAGCTTTAATATCAACCACCACTTTAAGGTGGTTCCTTTTAGTCCAGAGTGGTATTTAGAAGCCAAATCTGGGTATTAGGTTTCCTCATTGCTGCTGAGGGATGGCTGTACCCATACCCCCTCATTGATTTTTACAGAGTAGAAAGGAGGAAAAGCGAAGAGAAAGAGAAACATCAGGGGACAGGACTAGGGAATATACTTATATACTACATATACATATACATGCACACACATTTACTTCTATATATTGAAAATCTTGAGTTCACATAGATATCTCCAATTCCAGTTCAACACTACGGGTTTCATTTTAACTTACTCACTTTCCTCACTTCCAACTCCCTTCTCTAACAGTGAAAAACCTGGCTTCCATTATCCTTAATATATTTACTTACTTCATCAAACTCTCTGTATGTAACCAGCCTTCCATTACCACCACCACCTTAATCATATGATCGCCATCTCATCCCCCTTGGGCTCTGGCAGCCCATGCCAGGTCACACGCAGACACTTACCTTTCTCCTGCTTGCATTCTGACTTTTTTTTTTTTTTTTAAATATATTTTATTGATTTTTTACAGAGAGGAAGGGACAGAGATAGAGAGTTAGAAACATCGATGAGAGAGTCATCGATCAGCTGCCTCTTGCACACCCCCTACTGGGGATATGCCCGCAACCAAGGTACATGCCCTTGACCGGAATCGAACCCGGGACCTTTCAGACCCCAAGCTGACTCTCTATCCATTTAGCCAAACCAGTTTCGGCGCATTCTGACTTTCTTCATGGTACAATTCTTTTTATACTGGAACCCCCTCACATTGACATTCAGTACCCTACTCTGGGTTTTATTTCATTACATCTTTATCCTTTACTGTGCATTAATATTTTATGTGATAAAATAGGAAGTATTTGTTAAGCTTCTCTGTTGTATACCAAAGTGTGATGATGGCGTTGAGGAAAACCACTTGTGCAATTGTTTGAATTGTGAATTAAACTCGCCATTTTTTATGGAATGCATTTTTTTCTTGAAAGACTAACACACACACTATGGTTATCCAGACTTAGGTAGTTGGAAAATTTTTCTTGCAAGTGAGCCTGTCATTTCAAGAACAACTATTTGCTGCCAACAATAGAATTCAAACTTTCAAGTAAAAAATTAGAATTGTATGAAACTTATATCCACCATTTTAAGCTTTACAGCTTTTCAATACTTTTTTTTCCTAATGAGATAGGTGGTAATATTACCATGTAATTGTTTTGATAGTGTATAATGAAATATATCAAATTCTCAAAGATCTGCACAACGCAGTGAACCACTGTTTTTCAAATGACCAGTATATGATGTTGCAAAATTATGCATAGATAAAAGGTCATTCAAATTGTAATGGACTTTTAGCCGGGACCGGTTTGGCTCAATGGATAGAGCGTTGGCTTGGGGACTGAAAGGTCCCGGGTTCAATTCTGGTCAAGGGCATGTACCCTGGTTGCGAGCAGATCCCCAGTAGGGGGTGCGCAAGAGGCAGCTGATCGATGACTCTCTCTCATCGATGTTTCTAACTCTCTATCTCTCTCCCTTCCTCTCTGAATAAAATCAATAAAATATATTTAAAAAAAAAAAAAAAAAAAAAAAAAAAACAAATTGTAATGGACTTTTAAAACTATATATTTTTTATTGATTTCAGAGAGGAAGGGATAGAGAGAGAGATAGAAACACCAATGATGAGAGAGAATCATTGATTAGCTGCCTCCTGCACACCCACACTGGGGATCGAGCCTGCAACCCAGGCATGTGCCCTTGGCCAGAATCCAACCTGGGACCCTTCAATCCACAGGCTCTACTCACTGAGCCAAACCAGCTAGGGCAGATTTTAATGTAACATAGTATGAAAAGTTCCTGGGTATAGTTGCATATTCCACATTGTAATTAACTTTTAAAGAACTATCACTTCTCAAGTTTTACTGTAATATCAAAGAAACACATCCACAATTACCTGAACAGGTTTATAAAATACTAGAGGCTGGTGCACAAAATTCATGCATGGAGGGGAGGAGGGGTGTCCCTCAGCCCTGCCTACATCCTCTCGCAATCTGGGACCCCTCAGGTAGGGTCCCTTGGCCTGGCCAGTGATCAGGGCCTATTGGGACTTGCCTTCCTTAGGCTGCCACTAGCTAGCCCCACTCCCACCACTGCCACTGCTTACCATCTGTGCAGCACTGTCCCCCTTTCCCTGCCACCATGCACCTCCCTCTGTGGGTGGTAGGTATGAGGTGCGATTGCTTGGCTGGCCTGGGCCTCCCTCTGTGGGGTAATCGCTGGCCCGCTTCACACACCTGTCACAACGTCACTGGCCTGTGGCCTGGGCCTTCCTCTGCGGGGTGATCATGTTGCAATGGCAGGGCCCCCTGACCAATCACATCGCACCTGCCTTGACTGGCCTGGCACCAATGCATGTGATAGCATGGTCACCTGGAAGGCTATGTGGTCATTCAGTCGATTTGCATATTATGCTTTTATTATTATAGGTTATTCTATTTTGCAACTGCATATCTGTGGAAGATTGGATTCTTCATGTACTTAACCAAAATAGCATTGCCACAGATTAAATGCAGAAGCAAATATGAGAATCCACTTGTTTTATTTTGGAAAATGTAATTATGTTTCATGAAATCTGTTAACATTCAATGATTTATTGTAAAAAGACATAACCCATATAAACAAAAGTGTTTTTGGGTTCTCAATGATTTTTTAAAAACCATCCAACAAGAAGTTAAACATATATTTATTTATAAACTCTGGTAAGCCTTACAAAAAACATTCAAATACTAAGTAATTATAATGCACGCTCTTATCTGGCAATTCAAACTTAATTGAACTATTTGTTGATGCTAAGTTATACAAAACTGCGTTCCAAGCTTGGAGCTGAGCTGGGACTGGGTGGTAACTTTCATTACTTTTAGTTTATTTCTTGTTTTTAGATTTTAAACATCTTTCTTTCCTCTAAACTTCCCACAGGACCACTGATGGCTAACCTCTTTTAGTGTATCAGGATTTGAGCTGGGTGGTTGTATTACAGCTGTAGTTAGTTTCATTTCACTTGTTGTTTGGAAATCCAGTAGAACCTTGGAACTTAATAACTGCTCAAACTGCAAGATTTTGTCTGCTTTCTAGCCCAACACCAACCACTCAGAAAAATTCCTGTGAGGGAGAATTATCTAGTTTAAAGTTGTTTTTAAATGTGAAGATTTTCTAGAATCCAGTTAATCATGCCAGCCTTTACACAGTCATTAAAAGTTTGGCTGGAATCACACCTGTGCACAGAAGGGCTTCACTGATACAAGGACACATTTGGTTTAAGGAATCATCTGTATAGAAAGAGGGACTTGTTAAAGTGATTTTTTTGTGAAATTCTCCAGAAAACTGTCAAATCAGAACATTAAGATTACAAGAACTGAAAAGTCAAAATTTAATTTTATGAGAAGACACTTGATGCTTAGGAGTTTAGTAAGTCTACTAATCCAGTTCACTTATAGGTATTATTTTCAATTCATCTCTTATTTTTACTGTAAAGGGCATTTTTCTGGTAGAGGAAATAAAATGTATGGTTTTCCTGTTTTCTTTTAGATTTGGAGTCAACATATGAGACCAAAAATAGCTTTTTAGAAAAGAACATTTCCGAAATAAGTTTTTCCCAATGGGCAGAAAAGGAAAGAAGTAAAACCCTTGATCTTGAGGAATCCATTTTCAAAAATAATTGGAAGTGCAAAAGCAAATTTGACGGACTACAGGAACATCAAGAGGAATACTTTAGTCAAATGGTAATCAGTTATGAAAAAATGCCCACTTACCAAAAAAGTAAATCTCTTATTGCACATCAAAGACTTAATCCAGAGAAACCTGACATTTATAAGGAATGTGGGAAGACTTGTAGTCATGGTTCAAAACTTGTTCAACAGGAGAGAACTCATACAGCTGAAAAACACTTTGAATGTAAAGAATGTAGTAAAGACTTTTTTAGTGCCTATCAACTCACTGTGCACCAGAGATTTCATACTGGTGAGAAACCCTACAAATGTAAGGAATGTGGGAAGACTTTTAGTTGGGGATCAAGTCTTGTTAAACATGAGAGAATCCATAGTGGGGAGAAGCCCTATGAATGTAAAGAATGTGGAAAGACCTTTAGTCGTGGCTATCACCTTACTCAACATCAGAAAATCCATATTGGTGTGAAATCTTATGAATGTAAGGAATGTGGAAAGGCCTTTTTTTGGGGCTCAAGCCTTGCTAAACATGAAATCATTCATTCAGGTGAGAAACCTTATAAATGTAAAGAATGTGGGAAAGCATTCAGTCGTGGCTACCAACTTACTCAGCATCAGAAAATTCATACTGGAAAGAAACCTTATGAATGTAAAGTATGTGGAATGGCTTTTTGTTGGGGTTATCAGCTTACTCGACATCACATGTTTCATACTGGAGAGAAACCCTACGAGTGTAAGGAATGTGGGAAGAACTTTAATTGTGGTTCAAGTCTTGTTCAACATGAGAGAATTCATACAGGTGAGAAGCCCTATGAATGCAAAGATTGTGGAAAGGCTTTTAGTCGTGGCTATCACCTTGCTCAACATCAGAAAATTCATACTGGCGAGAAACCTTTTGAATGTAAGGAATGTGGGAAAGCCTTTAGCTGGGGTTCAAGTCTTGTTAAACATGAGAGAGTCCATACTAGTGAGAAATCCTATGAATGTAAAGACTGTGGGAAAGTCTTTGGTAGTGGGTATCAACTTGCTCAACACCAGATATTTCATACTGGGGAGAAACCCTATGAATGTAAGGAATGTGGGAAGACCTTTAATTGTGGTTCAAGTCTTGTTAAACATGAGAGAATCCATAGTGATAAGAAGCCCTATGCATGTAAAGAATGTGGAAAGACCTTTAGTCGTGGCTGTCACCTTACTCAACATCAGAAAATCCATATTGGTGTGAAATCTTATGAATGTAAGGAATGTGGAAAGGCCTTTTTTTGGGGCTCAAGTCTTGCTAAACATGAGATCATTCATTCAGGTGAGAGACCTTATAAATGTAAAGAATGTGGGAAAGCATTCAGTCGTGGCTACCAACTTACTGAACATCAGAAAATTCATACTGGAAAGAAACCTTATGAATGTAAAGTATGTGGAATGGCTTTTTGTTGGGGGTATCAGCTTACTCGACATCATATATTTCATACTGGAGAGAAACCCTACAAGTGTAAGGAATGTGGGAAGAGCTTTATTTGTGGTTCAAGTCTTGTTCAACATGAGAGAATTCATACAGGTGAGAAGCCCTATGAATGCAAAGATTGTGGAAAGGCTTTTAGTCGTGCTGATCACCTTACTAAACATCAGAAAATTCATACTCGTGAGAAACCTTTTAAATGTAACAAATGTTGGAAAGCCTTTAGTTGGGGTTCAAGTCTTGTTAAACATGAGAAAATCCATATTGGTGAGAAATCCTATGAATATAAAGACTGTGGACAGGCCTTTGGTAGTAGGTATCAACTTAGTATTCATCAGACATTTCATACCAGTGAGAAATCTTATGATGTAAGGAATTTAGGAAGATTTACTCATGGCTTAGGTCTTGTTCAACATGATAGAACTCATAGTAATGATAAATTCCATGAATATAAAGAATGGGAAAGTCTTTATATGGTCAACTTACTCAATTGAAACAATTGCTATTGGAGAAATTATGATTGAAGAGATGTGAAAACATTTTGTGTGTGTGTGTGTATGGACAATTTAAACAGAGAAATCTTATTCTAGAGAAAACTTATGAATGTAAGGGATGTCCAAAAGCCTTACATGTGTATGGAAAATTTGATATTAGAAAATTTGTACTAGTAAATATTTTAAATATAAGGAGTATGAAAAGGCGTTTAGACTTCTGCACGATCTTATTGAAGATCAATTTATATTGATTTGAAACTATTTAAATGAAAGGAATGTGTCTTATGACACAGAGTCTGATAAGCATTGGAGGATTTATATTTAAAAGAGACACTTCAAGGAATGAGGGAAGAATGGAAATTTAATTCAGTTCTTGCTCTGCATAGCAGAGAATACTGCTGCAAAATCTTATAAATGTAAGGAATGCAGAAAGGTTTATAGATGTGATAAGCATCTTAGAATACATCAGAGGACTAATCCGCATGAGAAACCCTTAGGTTAGAATGCAGGAACACCTTTAGTCAAGTGCTACTCAAACTGTTGTCTAGATACTAGTACTAGTCCCCAAAATGGTAATCTGTCCATCAGGAGATAAATGCAGAAAATGAGAGTAAGTGTTTGGAAACATTTATAGCAATTTGATATTGCCATAACATCGTTGCATTTTATATAAGTATCAATTAGCTCATGAATGTTTGAAAATTAAAAACAAAAGTTTGCCCTTACCCATAAATAACTGAGACAGTATTCATACTTATAAAAATGTGACACAAGTTACGATATGATTAATTGAAACAAGAAATCCCTCACTTGTCACCTGATTAGCAGAATATTCATGCTATAGGAAGATTTGGCTAGTGTGGGAATCACAACTTCCTTATGCCCATAAAAGCATAGAAAATTTACACAAAGTTCATTTAGTAAATGTATAGAAGGCTTCTAACACTATTCAGTCTTTTGAATAACAAATATTTATTATCTATGTAATTATTTCTGTAACAAAGTTAAGGAATCCCTTATCCATGGCACACATCATACTGATTGTCATCACTTTTTAACCTCCTTATTCCCTGTGGGATGTTGGTCAAAATGTTTATCCCTTTTGGGAGTCATCTTTAAAATGCTGGTGATGGTAACTATTTAATTGTGCTTTTGTAAAGATTGGATGGATTTATACGCATCAAATGCTTGGAAGAGTATCTGATATGTAGTCTATGCCCAATACATATTAGTTGTTGTTCTTATCCTCATCAGTAGTATCACTACTAGTGAATTCTTAAGAGAGGAATGCTCATTGGTATAATAAATTTAGGAAAGCTTTTCATAACCACTTATGAATTTGAGTTTCAGGTAGTTCATTCTGGATAAAATTTAGTAAAACAAAACCTGAAAGGATTTTTATTCAGAATTTATCCCTTAAGCTTCATAAGACATTAAGACTGAAAATAAATGTGGATTTAGCAAGCGTTAAGATGGGACTATACCTGAAGAACCAGGGAGAGGTATGAAATAATTTGCCTGAAATGAATTCCAACAGGCAGGTAGGCAATAATTATAATTCTTTGTTCACATTTCAAGATAAATTAGAAATTACAAAGAAAAAAATACATTTGAGGATTCTTTCCCAAAATCTTATGGCAATTTTCAGACAAGTTGAAAGAATAGTATAATGAATATACTCTTCTCTACCTAGAATCAATAATAGTTAACATTTGACCATATTTGCTTTCTCTGAATATATGTGTGTGTATATTCATGTAGCATTTGACTTATAAATAGGTCATGATAGTTCATTTCTGAACACATTAGCATGTACCTTTTTAGATTAAGAATGATCTTATTTAATACCATGGTCATACAAGAAAATTGTCTGTAATTCTGTAATACCAATATTCTTTTCTATTTCATATTTTCCAGTGCTCCCAATAATTTATCCTATTGCTATGTACTTTCTTTAAAAAAAAAAAAAAAAAATATATATATATATATATATATATATATATATATGCTTTTATTGATTTTTAGAGAGAGGGGAAAGGAGAGAGAGAGAGAGAGAGAAACATTAATGTGAGAGGAACATCAATTGGTTACCTCCTGCAGCCCCCTACTGGGATGGAGCCCACAACTCGGGCATTACCCTGACCGGGAATGGATCTGGTGACCTCTTGGTGTATGGGTCGTCACCTGTTGCACTGAGCCACACCACTGGGCACTATTTACTTTCTAACCAGCATCTTCTTTATATTCATGCATTGTATTTGATTGTCATGTCTCTAGGTTTTAGTCTCGAACAGACAGGAAAGCTGTTTTGAATACATTCTAGATTTTTCTTTCCCCATTAGGAAATAGTGCATTAAGAAAAAAATTGAATTGTAAGGCTAAAGTCTCACATTGAAAAATGACCAGGATAAATTTTAGGTTAGTCTACAGGTAGACCCATAATGGTCAAATATTGTGTGCGTAACAGTTGTTGAATAAATTCTAGCTGCTTGTGGAAGGACAATTTGGAGATTTTCTTTTCTTTCTCTTTTTAACTGACATAGTAAGTTCTGGAGATGTATCACAGCTGATGAGCACAAAGGGACTGGAAGCTGGAAATAAGCAGCTGGGAATGTACTGATGTTCACCAGCCATGTAAAGTGATAAGACAGAGAAGAGAAAATAAAGGGGATGTTCCTCTCACAGATTAGCTCAGCAGGACAGTAAAATATTGGTTTTTGAGGAGGCACATGTTATGACTCAATGATGTGGTCATTGGGTGTTTTTATATCTATTTGTTTTAGAAAATAAAGTCAATTAAATTCCTTTACTGTGGTCTAAGATGAATCTGAAGAGGATTTATGCCTTTTCTCCACACTGCCCAATAAGGGATACCTCTTTTTTTTACTTTAAACATTTTTTAAATTACAGGTGACACACAATATTGTATTAGCTTTAGGTGTACAACTCAGTAATTAGACATTATATAACTTATTAAGTGGTCACCCTGATAACTCTAGTACATATATGACATGATACATACTTATTACAATACTAGAGGCCAGGTGCATGAAATTTGTGCACAGGGTTGGAGTGGGGGGAGTCTCTCAGCCCAGCTGCACCCTTTCCATTATGGAATCCATTTCACAATCCATGTCTGCTGGCTCCCAACCTCTCACCTGCCTTCCTGCCTGCCTGCCTAATTGCCCCTAACCGCTTCTCCCTGACAGCCTGGTCATCCCTAAGCACTCCCCTGCCAGTCTGATTGCCCCTATCTGCCCTACCCTCCTGACCTGATCACCCCCAATTGCCCTCCTCTGACAGCTTGGTCACCCCCAACTGCCCTCCCCTACAGGCCTGGTCACCCCCAACTGCCCTCCCCTGCAGGCCTGGTTCCCCACCCCCACCCTAACTGCCTTCCCCTGCAGGCATGGTCTCTCCAAACTGCCCTCCTTTGCTGGCCTGATTGCCCACAACTGCCCTCCCCTGCTGGCCATCTTGTGGCGATCATCTGACCACATGGGGATGGTCATCTTTGTGTTGGATTGACTGTCAGTTTGCATATTACCATTTTATTAGATAGGACTAGAGGCCCGATGCACACACATTTGTGCGAGAGTAGGCCTTCCTTCCCCAGCTGCCAGCACTGGCTTCCCTCTAGCACTTGGACTCAGGCTTCCCTCCTCCGGCCACCAGCAGGCATCTGGGACCCAGGCTGGCTTCCCCTTGGCCCTGGCTTTGTCAGGAAAGATGTCTGGTCTAATTAGCATATTACCTTTTTATTATTATAGGTTATTGACTCCTGGAGCAGTCTGTCCTTTTGCAGAGGCCCAGTGCATGAAATTCCTGCACAGGTGTGGTCCATAGGCCTGGCTAGTGATTGAAACATGAGCGTCTAGTATGGAAGGGCAGCAACTCCCTCCCTCCCTCCCTCACATGCCCCCTCCACCTAAGTCACGGCGCCTGAGTCCCCACACAGAGATGCAGTGAGCGCGGCCAGACACTGCAGGCTGGAGCGCAGCATGGCCTCTGGGCTGCCCAGCAGCACCACACGGAAGCTGGACAGGCGGCACACCCTCCCAGTTGGTCTCACAGACTGGTTCCTGCATGAACCCATGGGGAGCCCAACCGGCCCCTGCCATCCAGGCGGCTGTGGCCCGGCTCACCAGGAAGAGCTGTGCGGGTGTGGGGTGGGCTCCTATGGGTGCCTGGAACTGAGTGCCAGGGCCTCCCCAGCATGTGAGCCCTGGTCTCCAGGGGAGGTGTAGCAGGGAGAGTGAGAGTGAGCTTGGCAGACACCCCACATTCTCACGGCACCTCCGTCCCTGTCACTCCCGCTCCCCAGGTAGCTGGCGATAGGTTGCAGCCCCCTGCCCTAGTGCCATGGGAGATTGGTCGCCTCTACCCATTCCCAGATCCCCGTCCAAGCCCAGGGCCCCAGCCTCAATCGGGTGGTCAGGGCCTGCCGGCTGCTGGTTGCCATCTGCAGGGGTAATTGGTCAAGGCCGGGCCCCCTGCCTGGCCAGCTCTGCTCCCCACCTCCACCACTGGTTGCCATCTGTGGGGCAATGAGCAGGGCAATTGGGTCCCTGCTCACACCCGCCATGGCCTGGCGCCACCCGCTCATCTGCTCCACCATCCCACTGCTGTCCTGCTCTTGTCAGGGCCCATTGGGGCCAGCAGTGCCTTCACTTCCAGCTCATATTGCTGACACCTGCTATGTCCCGTGCCGCCCTCTTGTGGTCAGTGCACATCATAGCGAGTGGTTAAACTCCTGGTTGGACAATTTGCATATTAGTCTTTTATTATATAGGATATTTTCTATGCTGTACACTACATTCCCTTGACTATTGTAACTACCAATAGTAGTTCTTAATCCTTTCACCTCTCACCTACTCCAACACCACTCATCTGAAAACCATTAAAATTTTATGAGTATATCTGTTTTGCTTGTTAGTTTATTCTGTTTTTTAGATGCTACATATAAGTAAATCACATAGCACTTGTCTTTCTTTGTCTGA